TTTGTGCTTATGCTTTGATCAATTTTGCATGCCTATATCTTGTAATCTGAGCAACTACTTTAAAGATAACAATATGCAATATAATAATTTCCTAGTATCTTGTTTTCAAATCTGTATCATTTTTTTCTCTTAAAAATACAATTGAATTTGGTGCCTAATCCTACAAAGCGTTCAAGTTATTGTGGCATGAATTTTAAGTATATCCTTGGGGTTTATCCTGTTCACTGATTTTCCCTTTTAACTACAATTCCTTTACTTCTTGCTAGTCTATTGTTTCAATAAGCTATATTTTAAGAGAAGGGGGAGACCAAATACTAAACCTTGGGCTCCAGGGGGACACAAGAATAAGACAGGGGAAAGAAAATTTTAAAATTACAGGAAGTTAAAGAGGCTTTTAATATAAAAATTATAAAATGTAGTAAAATAAATGGACAAACTAGAAGGGAAATGCAGAGATAATGGCCTTAGAATATTTTCTGTGTTCAGTGGAATTTGGTCCCATCTCTACTAAAAATCTCTCCCACAAGTATAGAGTACAAATTTCACGCATTATCTAATGAATTTTCAATGGCATTTTAATTTAAAATACAAAAAGGCTATTTTTATCATCTAAGTAAATTAGTGTAATATAATCCATATAAAAGTGAATTCCTGCCAAGACAGTTTAACAAAAAAAACCTATCCCAACATGACTCGCATCTGAAAAAAAGCAATACCAAGAATTCAAAATGCCTATTTCTGTCACTGAAATAAAAATATTTGTGTTAAGTATTGCAAACAAACAAAACCAGAGCAAGACAACATTTTCGTTCTGGAAATTTTATGTTTCTTTAAAACCAGACACTATAATAGAAACACACATTGAACCTCTGCATAAACATTTTAAGAGTTTACTCATATATTCTTCAAATTATCTCACATAAAACTACATATAAATTACACTTTGCATTGATGATTTAAAAACAAGCACAATAACATAAAATACAAAGCCTCTTCTGTTTCAGAATATTTTACTGGGAAGTTCTTCTTTTATCATCTTCGCTGTCAGTTCTGGGTGAACCAGGATGGTCGCTTCCTGTTTTGTTCAATGATCCTCTTGCCCTGATCTTGTGGGGACGGTGTCTCTCCTGCGTATAAGACCACAGTCTCTGTGGGGGGAGCTTTAAAAGGGCCCCCTTCTTGTTTCCCTATCTGTCGTCTGATTTCTGTAGTCTCCTTGCGCACTTTCTCATAGCAAAAGGCACAAAGGACATGTTTCAATTTTAGGTGGCCACATTCAGGACAAACGTCGATATTGTTCTTTAAAAAAAAACAAACAAAAACATGTATTAACAAAAGTCGATATGAGATACAAATAAATAATCCTCGACAGAAGTGATGCTCGCAGTTTAGCTTTCTGAGAATGTTTATGCTATATGAGGTCATATCATCTACTTTCAATTTCACTTTGATTTTTTTGTTTGTTTGTTTTGAGACAGGGGACTATGTAGTTCAGGCTGGTCTTGGCCTCAAACTCACAGCAATTCTTCTGCCTCAGCCTCCTGAGTGCTGAGATTAGAGGTGGGCATCCCCACGCACAGCTTTCAACTTCACTTTAACAAAGAAACTGACAATAAGCAATACTGAACTTGAATTAGTAGAAAAATTAGGACTAGAACTCATGTTTACCAACTTTGTATCTAGTTCTTAAAAACAGCCGTCATCTTTACTTAAAAAGTTAGTCTATTATGTTAACTCCAAATATCAACATAAGAGAGTGACCTATACAGAGAATATCCTAAATAAGGTGCAAAGAAAACGTAAATTCACTTTCAGTCTACCTTGAGAAAAATAAGATTACAAGAATATTATAAGCTGGAGTCCCCTCCTTTGTTACAGTGTCATTCAAATTTCTACTCAGAACATAGGTTTGGTAGAAAGTACAATTTTTCTTTTTATTTATGATCTATTATTCCTTAATGTAAAACCTCTTGAGATATTACAATTCGAGAGTATTTTAATGAGTTTTGATACATGTTTATCCAACTTTAACTGCGTTAAGGTATAACCTCTAAAAACTTCAACATATTTTGAAGGAGACTTAAAAAAATATATAGAGAAAGAGCAAATCAGCAGCACGGTGCCTGCCTGGCAAGTGCGAGGTCCTAAGTTCAATTCCCGGTTCAAGAAATAAAAAAAGTAAATCAGGAGCATTGCAGAAGCTTCAATTAATTCGTAAGATTAATCTACTAACGTGTGAAGCGGATAGCTAACAAATTTCATTTTCTGAAAGGACAAAGAATCTTGCTAATTACTGGCTTCATCATAGTCTTATTATACTTTGCTGTGGTGGGTTGTGTGTCCACCTAAACCAGTCAGTTGGTCTTTTCATGTTCAACATACTCAACACAATATAGTACTACATGTAGCAGTAAATAACTTACCCCTGAAAATGTATGCACAGGATCATTTCTAAAATCCTCTTCAAGATCAAATTTGGTGGCATCCTAACTAAGTTTCTTTCTTTCTTTTTTTTTTGTAACAGGAATCAAGCTGAAGACCTTGTGCTTGCCAGGTAGGCGCTTATGCCGCTGAGCTATATCCCTGGCCCTGGAGTCCTAACTAAGTAAAATGTTTCTCAGTTCCATATTTAAATTTCAGCTCTACTGTGACTCAAAAATACTCTTGGCTTGAGTTCCAAGGATTTAAATGTGAATGCAGAACTGTTCTGAAGTTTCATCCACACAGAGCTGCTGTGGTGGAATGCCATGAAGCAGGCAAAAATGAATTTATAACTATTATAGCCACAAAGTAACACTATACCTACTATTAACTTTTTTTTCAATTAGATTAATGAACAGAATTCATACATATTAGGTGAATCTGGAATTGTCTGAACACACCAAAGTTTCAAGCGAAGAATGTGAGTTCAAAAGTCAAAATGCCAGGGGTCAAATGCAGACTTTTCCTTTTAATAGCTCTGTGACTACAGACAAATTCCTTTAGCCTCAATTACTTCATCTTATAAAATGAAGAAAGTGGTATTTACTTTGGAGGACCAGTGTAAAAATATGATAGGACAATGCACACAGAACACTGAGATAGTTCACAGGCTGTGATTGTCCTGTACAGCACTTCACTGGAAGCAGTAAAAGATAACTGGAATACATAAGGGCTAGTAAAATCTAAGATTCAGCATGCTTACTACTTCTGACTTTAATTTTAGTATTACTACAGTTAATATGTTTATCCATTTGTAATTCAAATTAACACAGCCCATGACTGATAATAGTTCATAATTTAAAAGTCATGTGAGCTCTTTACAACCTAGTCTTCTGTCTAATCTCCAAACTTCTTGATTGTGCTTTTAGTATCTGGGACAGTATGACATAATGAGACTACTATATTTTAGTTAGGTCAGACCATAGGCCATAAGATATGAGAATAATTTATCCATAGGCTATAAGAATATACCATGACAATATGCAATGGTGGACTTGAGGAAAAGCATATTCACAAAATGAGAATAAATTACCTTAACTTTAATAAGTTTCCAAGAGTTTCTCCTTCTACACCGATTAACTTCAATACTGCGTCTGTTTTTGGGAGCTGCCATCCAAAAGATACCTTCCAAGAGGCTAGAATTCTCATTACTTCCACTGGTATCAGTTGCTGGCTCTGTAAATATCACTGGACCCTGGACTGCTAATGCTGGTCCTATAAAGTAAAATATGGAGATACAGAATCAATTTCCAGCTCCCAAATGACTATTTCTAAATATTATTCTTAATCAACCATGATATCAAGACACACACACACAGAGACACACATATATACATAGGTAGTTTAGCATGTTAAATTAAGTTACTATTTAACAGAAAACGTAGCTATTAAAATATACAGTACTGCTGGGCATGGTGGCACACACCTGCAATCCCAGCACTCAGGAGGCTGAGGCAGGAGGATCGCTGCGAGTTCGAGACCAGCCTGGGCTACAAAGTTAGCTCAAGGCCAGCCTGAATTGCACAGCAAGACCCTGTCTCAAAAAAGCCAAAAAAATACATAAATAAAAAAAGATAAAAAAGGCACTTTTAAATAACACAAATAGAATTTTTTCTTAATTGAACTTGCTGAAATAAGATGAGTGAAATTCTACAGTTTCTTACCTGATGCAATACAGGACTCAGGGGTTTAGTAATGAACATGAGTAAAAGTTTGACAGGTGCATAACTTAGAAACAAAATCATTCAATTGTCCACATTTTACTGGGGAGAGTTAGTATCTACTTAAGGTACAAGTAAATCTAAGATTGTGGTTACACAAATGCACTTGTGACCTACACTGAGATAATTCTCTATTAGCTCTTTTAAAAAAATTCACAGTGCCTTTCATTATATAACCTGGAGGATTCCTTTAAGTCACTAAGTTCTTCATTAACATTTAATCTTCACTCCTGTTTGTTCTCTAAGAAAAAGAACTACTCCCTCACTTCACTGTATAGTACTATTGACATGACACCAACGTCTCATTTTTGTCTTTTAAAATGCTTACAAAATCAAAGAAATTCTTTTATCTTTTGCTATTCTTCAGACTTGTGATACTTTCAATTTTAAGAACTCTTAAAAGTACATAAAGCTGCCTACATTTAACAAATGGTGTTCTTCAGAAGATCTAAAAAGGTTGCTAAGCATAGCCTGGTGTTTTGTAAGAGGCTCTGGATTGCCTGTGTGATCCTGAAGCTTTCAGAGCCTACTTGTTTACCTGAAAAATGGAGACATCTACTGGTATTGTTAAGTTTCTCCCAGAAAGCACATCAAACTGTCCTAGCACAGTGATTAGTACATAGTGGTACATATTTTCTTGGTATACATCTGTTCTGACTGTCTGTGTGTTATCTCTTTTGAGATACTTTGTAAATGTCAAAGCAATAACAGCTTTTAACATCGAAGACGTTTCTAATTAAAATTCGTTCGTGAAGTAAACACAGGAATCAGAATTCACCTTCATAAAGCTCAAACACCACACAGGGGAGCAAACTGCATCCCGTGTGCATGGGGGTGGGGACCGAAAAGGAAAGACAACAGAGACTCAGATTGGCCATGCTCGACGCCAAGTGAGAACTATAGCATTGTACAAACATGCCAACTGTCTAAAGCCCTGCAACGAAAGACTTGCCCAAACTCCAGGGAGACTTCCAGCAGCATAAGGTCCTGTTCCCAGGATGACCTTAGCTCCCCTTGCGGCGCTTAAAGGAGAAAGCTCTACGCTGCCAGGAAAATATACTTTTTGTTCTCGTCAACACACACACATCAACACTACCTGGTGATAGGCTTCTGACCTCCCTTTCTCACAGAGTTTACTACACAGCGCTTACGATCGCACAGACGCATCCCCATCAGGTCAGGAGCTCAAGGCCCAGAAGCCATTCCTTGGAAATAATAATCATCAACCGGGCAGGGCAGGGCCGGGCTTCGGTCTCCCAGTCTTTGTGGGCGAGGAGAGCCCTAACTTCACCATCCGCGAGCTAGCACACAGAGGCGGACTAAACACACACTGGTTTTGTTCCTCTCCTACAATGCGCACATTGCCTCTGCACAAATTGGAACGAGCTCGGGGCATTTCCATTAGTAGTTACCGAGCAAGACCTGTTCTCAGCTCTTTATCTAAAGTCCGGCTGTCTTCACCTATGACAAAACCTAAGGTGCTTGGGTAAGCCCTGTGTATGAATGGCGAAGTAGAGGTCTTGTTTTCTTCCCGAAGATAAAAATGCAAAAATAGGTGAGAAGACTCTAAGCAAAAGGTACTGGCAACTTCCCGCACGCTCGGCAGAGGATCACTACGCGAGGAGGAGCAAAAACTAAGAGCTGCGTCTACTAAGCAGCCTGGGGTCTTCCCGTCAGCTTTTCCGCACTTACCCCACGGAGGACTGGAAAGGCCTGGCCAGCTTTGCTGGAATTTGCGCTGGAGGAACTCCCAACAGTTTCGGAGCAGTCCCCGGTACGCGGGACGCTGCGGAAACACCAGCAGCAGCATGGCTGCCACCATGCTCCTCGCCGGAACACCCGTACCACTGGGATGCTGGGTCCCGCCCCTACTTGGAGCATGCGCATAGATCCAGAGTCAAGGCCAATCCGTCTTCTGAAACTACAACTCCCAAAATTCTTCGGGGGAGGCTTTGACACTCTCCTCCAATCAGAGAGAGAGTAGGGAGGTGCCGGGACGGGAAGTGAAAGTAAACTGACCATAGTGCGCATGTGTGTGGATGTGCTTGGGCTCTCCGGGTAAAGATGGCGGAACGCGGTTACAGCTTTTCGCTGACAACCTTCAGGTATGGGAGGGACCCCAATGGTCCTCGGCAAAGCAAAGGTTGCAGGATCTCGCTCTATTCTGTTTTGTGTGTCCTTGCCTCTGGCTTGGTACTTTCTGAGAGTCCAGGAGGGAATGGAGGTGGGAATGCAGCTTTGCATAGTCATTTGCCGGGCGGATCCAAGGCCGGGGAGCGCGGGTCCGGGGGATCCGGGCAAACTTGGGGCTGAGTTCATGGAGGGCTGTAGCTAGTCATTTGACTTCGCACTGGAGCCGGGAGAATAAGGCGCTATTGTGCTAGTGTTCTCCTGGTGGCCGATTCACAACTGGAGATTGCCTTCTTGGCCCAAGTAGGCCTGATGCGGGCGGGAGCTTCTGAAGCTTCAGAGTCTTAGTTGATGCCTGGGGTCTCGTGTTTTGTTTTAAATCTTAGCTTTATTGTTAGCTTGGGTGCCCGTCTTCCTTTGGTGCTCGTGGTCTTTTGAAACTTTACACTTTCGATTTCTTCGAGGCCCCTGATCCAAGCACAAGGACTGAGAAATGGGAAGCGCTGATTTGTCTGACAGGTTTTTGTGGACCCAGAACGTTACAATAATTAAGTCCTTTTTTTTTTTTTTTTCTTTTTTTTCTTTTTGGGTGGTGGTATGCTTTCAAAAGGTTTTAGGCTTTCTATTGTAGAAGAGGGAGTTAAAGAAAGTAGTAAGTATATTTTTCAACATAGAGTTGATATAAACAGTCATACCCAATGTAAGGAAATCATCATGGAAACATACTTAAAATTCACCGGGAAGGATTCTAGTTTGACCATTTTCTTAACGATCGGTATTGCCACCTTTAGTTTGTTGTCCTATCTGAACACTGAAGGCAGATGGGTTCTCACTTGTTGAATACTTTCTGTTTAGGTGCAGCTTGACCTACTCCTTTGCTTTCCGCTACCACCTATGATGAATGTTATGTCAGCCTGTTACAGATGCTGTTACACATGAGTTAACCACTGCTCAGACAGATTAAATATCTGACCAAGGTCATCCTGAGTAGCTGAGTTGACGTTCAAACTGCGTTTTTCTGATGACAAAAGTTAAAGCTTTCCATTTTATTTTATCTTTCTGAAATCAGAAATGCCTTCCTCTTAACAAGTTTTGAGTAACAAACTAAGGATGTATAATTTTGTTTTGTAACCTTTGAATGAAATTTATTTAATTGTGCTATGTAGGGTCTCCTACACAGCGACAGAAAAAAGAATTGTGCAAGGTAGTCACTGTTGACATTTGTGAAAAAAGCAAATGTCTCTTAATTCTAAGAAAATGTAATCTTAGTAGAGCTGAAACACAGAACAAGCATACATTATCTGGGACTGAGTTTTTATAACAAACTTTTTTTTTACTAAAATAAACTTTTTTAAATGATGGATGATGGATTCAACTCTTTCAGACAAAAACATGTTTCTATCCTGTTATAATCAGAATTAATTTACAATGGGACAGGTGACTAGAAACCAGAAAGAGGGCGTTTTTTGTGACTTATATTTAGTTGAGGATATTAAGCGTAGATGAAGAAATTGGTGCCTACTAATGAGTTCTGGAAAATGCTTTTCTGTTTCTTAAAATTCTATTTAAAAAGGATGAAAAAAGGAACATAGCTGTCAAGGAAGGGCCATGCTTGGGGGAATTTTTAAGACTGGAAGATGACAAGAAGGCAGCTATTCGAAAATATAGGAGTAGAGAGAATCATTGGCAGAGGGCCACTGTAAGCAAGGAGGTAATGTGGTTGAGCGCTTATAAGATGAGTAATATTTATTTTAAGGGGCTGGGGATTTAGCTCAGTGGCACAGTGCCTGTCTGGCAAGCGCAAGGTCATGAGTTCGATTCCTGGTACCGGAAAAAAAAACAAACCAAAAAAAACAAAACAAAACAAAAAAAATATTTATTTTAAGCCAGGACATTATTACAGGACTTAAGTGGGAGTGATGTACAGAGGTGACTGTGGCTGGAGGTGAGCGAGGAAATCTAGATAGAAATGTTTCATTGATCCCAGGTAGAGGTACTGGTGCTTTAAAATGGGATAGTGCTGTTAAACATCAGAAAAGATGTTTGAATGCTCAGTATACCCAGATTAGTGAGCTTAACACATGCAGAATGATGCTTTGATAAAGGTGTGGACTGATAACAGGAGTGGAGAAAGTAAGTTTTATGAGTTTTTAAATATTCTTCACAGGTCTGTGAACTAAGTATTGAACAGTACTGAAAGCTAGGTAGACCCACAGTCATTGAAATAGTGACTATTAAAGGGGAAATATTCAGCCTGACTTTTAAACCTGTATAATTACTGATGTTTCACAGTGTGACACAGCTAGATCCATACCTCCCATCTACTACTGAAAAGACAGTCTTAAATTTCAGAAGACCAACTGTTTTAACTTCATACAGTTATAGTTTGTCACTCTAATCTCAAATCATATAGACCAGTCTTAAACCTCAGAAACTCTTCAGACAAGCCAGTTCCCCTGTCTGAAACTCTTTTCTCTATTGCCAGGTGGACTCCTTGCTGGCCATCCTGCAACCCTTAATAGCTATGTCATCTTTGCAGGGAAGCTACCTGAACTCTCAGACAATACTGAATGGCATACAGTCTATTAATAAGCTAGGTCTTATTATCTTAGGTTCTGTCCATTTTATAAAAGAAAACTGCACATAAAGTACATCTTACTTTAAGAGACGTATACATAATAATGTTATTTGTTAGGGTTTTCTTCTGCCCTTTTTTTTTTCAATTTTTTTTTCGGTACTGGGAATTGAACTTATGACCTCATGCTTGCCAGGCAGGCGCTGTGCCACTGAGCTAAATCCCGGCAGTGTTTTCTCTTGCTAATTTTTGCCAGAAACTTTCATAGGAATCGTTTCATTTAAACATTGCAACTCTTTGAAATAAGTGATTGCTGTAGTACTATTATCCCCATTCTGTAGATAAGAAAACATACATTGAGTGCTAATATGGCTTGCCCAAAGTTACAAGGTGGGTAAGTGGTGCAAAGAGGGATTAGTAATACTACTGCTCAAAGTGGCAGGTGAAAATCAACCAAAAGAGCGAGAAGCAGTACTTCACTCTGAGTGTGTTTAAATTGCCTTAGTTTATGAATGAACAACTTCATGACAAATTTCAAAGGCCATTTGTTCCTTGGGGTTTGACTAATGGATTTGACTGGCACATCTGCCCTTTCTCAGAGATGTGTGACAATTAATAGTTGAAAAATATGTGACCTTGGCACATAGCTGTGTTTCCTTTCAGCCCGTCTGGTAAGCTTGTCCAGATTGAATATGCGTTGGCTGCTGTAGCTGGAGGAGCCCCTTCAGTGGGAATTAAAGGTAAGGAAGTACTTCATTTTTTTAGATGTTTTTTAGTAATTGTCCTAATTTTTCCAAACTAGTAATTTGTAAATAAATAACTGTGGTGGCATAAATTTTAGCAGTTCTTTTTTTGTTAGCATATTTTGAATGTTAAAGAAAATAGTGATAACCCTGTGAAATGATTACAGTTTCTTTTCAGAGTAAGTTTAGCCCCTTTATGTGTTAAGCCCTCTTATAGTTGTGGTAGCTTGCAAGTTGTTCGTCCCATTCAGAAAATGGAATATCCTTTTGTTTTTCCACTATTTATCACTGTTCTCTGGAAGTTTTTATCCTTCCTATATCTCTTAAAAAGGCTAATTATGAAACAGTCAAAAGATACTATAGTTATTTCATATCCTACTATTTTTGCTTTAAAAAGATGTACATTTATTTGAAATTTTTAAGTTAAAAGAACCATTGATTAAGTTTGCAGAAATCCTGTAAGCTTTTGGGTATCCTGAAGTACTTTCAGAGAGATTGTGTAATACCACTAGCTGCAGGGATTTATTTTTTCAGTGAAGTATAAATGACCAGTGAGGGTAAAAAGGATTTTACTCTTCCTCGGGGTAATTTTGATACAAGAATCCTAAAGGAAAAGTTTTATAAATTACAGGAAATAGAAGCATTTGGGTTTACTACATCCATTATTAAAAAGCTATTGAAACTGTGTCTTTTAAATGGTTAAACATGCTATATTTTTTTCCCCCTAAGCTGCAAATGGTGTGGTATTAGCAACTGAGAAGAAACAGAAGTCCATTCTGTATGATGAGCGAAGTGTACACAAAGTAGAGCCAATTACCAAGCACATAGGTTTGGTGTACAGTGGCATGGGCCCAGATTACAGGTACCTTATGTTATCTATATAGTCCTTCACTATCTCATGAATTGATTGTAATCTGTACTTTAAGGAGAAAAGTCACGGACAGCTGGATTGGGTTATTTTAAGGAACTCAGTACCCCTCCATTATAAAAAAGGAAATAGATACATACTTATTTTTCTTACTTGTTTAGTGGACTTTACCTTCTGATAACTGTCCTCTTCTATCTACCATCCAAGTATTGGGTGTAAAGGGGTTTGGTGTTCTGCAATGCACTTCAAAAATGACCAAAGGAATACTTGTTATAATTAATGATTTTTAAAAAGATGAGATGGCAGCTGGGCATGGTGGTGCACGCCTGTAATCCTAACACTCAGGAAGCTGAAGCAGGAGAATCGCTGCAAGTTCAGGGCCAGTGTAGGCTACACAGTGAGTTCAGGGCCAGTCTGAAATACATAGCGAGACCGTGTTTCAAAAAAGAAAAGAAAAGAAACAAACAAAAAAACGAGGTGACAAAAGAAATCATCCCCATCCGGAGTTAACCTCATTATGTTTATTTTTGTTCTTGTCAAAGGGACAGAATTCCCAAAGGCCAGTGGGTGTTACAGAATGTGACAGTCCACTGGGATAAAGATGCTTGAGAATTGCCCCTATTTCATCAACAAGTTGAAAGTGATTGACATTTTTCTGTGTTTGTCAGTCTTTAATACTCATGACTTTTGTAGAGCAAGATAGAGCCAATATTTCACTTCAATAGGTCAGAAAAACCAGTAGGGTCACTGGAATGTGATCAGCCTCCACTAGAGTGGGTGGCGTGACCACTGAATGGAAGGGACACTGCCATTGTGCCACCACTGATACAATAAACCTAGGCAGGAGAAGAATATCATACAAAGGGCTAATGTGCATATTCCAGATCTGTAGTACATGAGCATAAAGATAAATCCTGTGTGTCCAGATATTTGTTGTATATCCTTAATGTCTTTTGACAGTATTCATATTTAAAATTAAAAGTAGTTTCTTACTCCATCTTAATCTCTGAAGGGTACTCTGGAGTGTAGGTAGTCTGCAGAGAAGATGAAGGCAGAGTTAGAAAAATATGCCCGAAATCGTGTTCATCTGTATATGTTTGTGGGCTTAGTGAAACATAAAAAGACATAGTAGCAGGCCCTTGGGATAAGGGGTGCAGTCTTGAAGGCGTGGAGAGAGAGAAACCTCACATTTTTACTAGGTATTCTAGTTCCTGCTTTTCTTCCTTTTGCCTTGTCTGTCTCTGATTGATCAGCTCCTCTGTGATACTTTAGATTTGTTCTTCTAAATCACTTGGGATCAGGCGGCAGAGTAAGACTGACTGACCAACAGCTGTCTTTAAGATAATACGTTAAGCTTGTGCTGCAGTTGTATGCTTAGAGAAAAAGAATGGGTCTTCAAGTAATAGAGCATCTTAATTTTAATTGATGCTTCCATCTTCCCGGTGTGCTAGAGTGCTTGTGCACAGAGCTCGGAAGCTCGCCCAGCAGTACTACCTTGTCTACCAGGAGCCCATCCCCACAGCCCAGCTGGTGCAGAGAGTAGCTTCCGTGATGCAGGAATACACCCAGTCAGGGTAAGGTGCTTTTATTATCTGAAATATGGCATGAATTAGAAAGGGCAAAAAATCACTTTACAAGGGTGAGTTACTAGGAGGAGACTTAATAGTATTTGTCTAACAAATAGAGAAAATCACTATGCTGAATGCTTCTGTTCTTAACTAGACCTAGAATATTTTCTTAGGGGAAAAGTGCCAGTGTTTTCTTGTTTGTACAATATAAAAAGTCTGTAGATAGAGGTTTTTTGCCAGTGCTTAAAATACCTATTTATAGGCAGTCGGCACTGCTATGTTATCTTTCCAACCAGAAATTTTTGTGAGCGTGTGGTGAAGGCAGACATTATATTGATTCTAATTCCACTGTTTTTAAGTTTGGGTTTAAGTAAGTGTGGGTTTAACTAAGTATGGGTTTAAGTAGGGTAGCATAAACATAGTTGTTGATAGGCAAACCCAGGAAAATCCACACTAGTTGGAAACTGTATTTGCTGGACACTGAGCATCCATACTTAGTTGTCTTTTAGACTGTGTTACTCTGTTTGATACTTGAGGCTGGGCCCTTTCCAGAAGAGGTTTATTTAGCTCACTGTTCTGGAGGCCTGATGGCATGGTGCTGGCTTGATGAGGGCCTTCTGGCAGGTAGCACTACATGGCCAGAGGAGTAATCCACTCCAGCAAGATGGCCCACTCTGAGAGACCAGCAGCAGTCCTTTCCCAGGATGGTGTCCTGTGATCCTGTGACTGCAGTGTCTTCCATTAGGTCCCCCGTACATATCCAGTTCTTCTCGGCATCATGAGGTCAGGAACCAGGTTCCACACATGAGTCTTGGGGAGCACCACAGCCAGGTGTGGCTCTGTGTCATCCAGAATTACTTAACTACTCTTGCTCACTGCCTTGAAGAGAGTTCCTTTTCACTTGATCCATTTAGAAAGGAGTTAAGTACTTTTTAATGAACTTCAGTCAAATTAAGTTTACTTGATAACTTGCTTTGCTTGAAAGCATTGGTAAATTTATACTTGAATATGATTTTTAACACCATGAAGATACCAAGTACTTGTCATTTTCCTTTCTGCAGAGGTGTTCGTCCATTTGGCGTTTCTTTACTTATTTGTGGTTGGAATGAGGGACGGCCATATTTATTTCAGTCAGACCCATCTGTAAGTATTATTTGACGTATTTGAAGAATTTTTACAAATTGCTCTTTGAATATCTAATAAAGATAGAAGCCATGGAAACTTTAAAATTAACAATTTCTCCCTTTTCATTTGGGCTTTAGGATGTGTAAAGTAGCTACAAACTACATTAGTTTTGCCCTCTTTTCTGACATGTTCATTAATGCCACATACTTCAATGACTTGTTGAAATAGTTGTTGTCCAGTCTCATTAAATCTCTGGAATTTTGTTATTTTGGAAAACACTGCAATTAAAGATGTGGACTTAGACGCCATTATAAACTTTGTCATCATTCTCTTTAGTCCAGTGTTTTACAACGAGGGTGTAACCAGTACCTTCAGTGAAGTTATAGGCTCTAAAACAAGAGCTTGATATCTAGGCAAGAAGGTGTTCCTAGAGAAAATGCCACTCTATACCTGTCCCCTTGCTATGAGAAGAGACTTTACTGTTCATTGTGGATTATTAGATAATTGCAAGGTCACTCAGTGTAAACCTTATACTCTACCCCTGCAAACTTAAAAAGCAAAATAAAAATATTTTGGTTGTTACTTAAATCAGAAAAGTAAGAATTTTGAGAACCACTGACCGTGGTGTTACCCCATCTCTGAGCTTCTGAAGCTCAATGACAAGCCCTCCTTCCTTGCCTCCCAGTGGTAGCAAAAGCCACCATCTGTGAAATCATGTGTATCTTTTGCCCTGTTGTTTCTTATATTTAGAAGAAAATTGTGTCTTTTAATACATTTGGTATGTTTTTGTTAGGGTTCTTTTCTATGTGCATGTATATATTTTTCAACACAGGAGGCCATATTACACATGACATTGCTATTACTTTTATCTTGCCTCAGATTATAAGATATCACGACCTTTGAATGCTTTCAGTGAAAATATGCTTTTTTAATTTATTCACTAATGCCAGTGAATTGATCACTAGTTTCAAATCTGTATGACAAGTTTTTGAGTTCCTTGATTATTTGCTTTACATTAGCCTTAGTTTCCTTTTCCATTTTAACAAAATGTACCATAAGTTGGATCATTAGCAATACATCATCATCAGTTTGATGAGTTTTTATATATGTAAATACCTGAGGAAACCATCACACTCAAGATACCAGATCTCCTGACTTTGAGATTTCTTCATGTCTGTCGTCCATCCCTCTTTTTAAAAAATAACCTGGGATATTTTCATTGCATCCCAGTAAATCCTCTATGACTGTAGAAGTTAGAGAATTGTAGAGTTAAAAAGCAAGTGGCAGAATGTATAGTTTTGTTAGTGTTTTTAAATAGGGCTCTTTTCTCTTCATGATTAGGGAGCTTACTTTGCGTGGAAGGCCACAGCAATGGGAAAGAACTATGTGAACGGGAAAACTTTCCTTGAGAAAAGGTAGGCTCACTGAAACTGGATTTATTGGCAAACTCATAAAATGGTTTTCAGCACTCTTAGTAATTCCATGAATCTGAATAAATGTGTTGTATTACTCTGTGTTTGAGCCTAGTTATAGGCAAACAAAAATTTGTCAATGTCCTGGCATTCTAAACGTCAGTATATTGAGTGGCACTATTACTCATGTGTAAAGCATGTCATATTCTACATTCTTCGGGTTGTGCCCTAAGTGTTTTATGTTGTTTTACTTCATTTTCCTCACTGCTTAACAAAAATTTAAAAAAAAGAAAAAGAATGTTGTATTTAGAGTGGAAAAAAATTCAAATGATTTAATGATACTATATATGACAGAAATTGTGGAACCAAAAACCTGATGTTGAGCAGATTAAATATATTATAGAGCGGTGAGTACTGTAAGACTTGCTGTCTGTCAGCACAGCAGGCTGCTATCACCTATTCCCAGCAGTATTCCAGACTCAACTATTATGTGGTCCTCCAAAAATGGCCTGCCTTTGAACAGAAAGATTGTTTAATTGGCTCTGACTAACAGATGATCCTTCCCTACAGTCTTCATATAATATTAATGATGAATGGTAATGATGAATTATTAAAGATGAACAATAAACTTAGCCATGGGATCATAAAGCACTTTTCTTTAACTTTTACTTACTAGTGAGTCTTCCAAATGTTTCACATTTTAACATATGATAGGTTATTATAAGAACAAACAAGATTTTATCAAAGGCCTGATTTTTTGCTGCTTTTTAAAAAGTTGTTATAAAGTATGCTGCTTCCACACCCCAATTACATAATGCATTAATACTTAAAAGTTTCCTAAAATAAATACACTTTAGGATTATATTATTTCCATGATGTTAGGATTAAGTACCAAATAATAGTCTTTTATTTGGGGACATCTTATCTCTGAGGTGATTTAGAGGGATTGATATATAATTTAATATTTTGAGAGTTTCTTAGATTTTTAGAACTTAATGCTGTTGCTATCATTATACAGTCATAAGGAAAGTAAACAGTACCGTACATGAAGTCTTTTTTTTTTAATTTCTTCAGATATAATGAAGATTTGGAGCTTGAAGATGCCATTCACACAGCCATCTTAACCCTAAAGGTTAGCTCAGTATCTACCAAATGGATTTACGATTTTCTATTGGAGTGTTTGAAAAATTGACCTTTTCTCCTCCCTTCCCCGACAGGAGAGCTTTGAAGGGCAAATGACAGAAGATAACATAGAGGTTGGCATCTGCAACGAAGCTGGCTTCAGGAGGCTCACTCCGACTGAAGTTAAGGACTACTTGGCTGCCATTGCATAGTGATAAAATGACTGAGTGACCTGAAATTTCAGATAATCTATCGACTTAAACATGTTTAAAGTATGTTTTGTTTTGCAGACTTTTTGCATACTAATTTCTACATGGTTTAATGGACTGATGTTTTTAAAATGACACTTGTAAATCATAATAAACTGTTAAATGCAACTTCCAGGTTTTTAGGAGTTAGTAAAATTTTAACATTTCATCTGATATTTTAACACTGAACATTTTATTTCCTGCTACTCATTACAGTTGACTTTTAGAAATGACATTGCAAGGCAAAATGATGAAATCGCTATTCCTTTCTATGCACTTTGGTTCGGTCAGATCACCACCCATTTATAGCGATGCTGCCTGCGTTTCTGTGAAGTACAGTGCTGATTTTGGTAAATCACTTTTGGAGCTGAGAGAATCTGCAGATTCTCATGGATCCATGCGACAAATATGCACATGTGTTTAGTATGTGTAGGTGTGGAATTGGTGAGATCCAAAGCAGTGGTGGCAAACCTATGGTATTTGTGCTGCAGTGGGCTTTTATTGAAAGCTCTAAAAGGTTTGCTTTCACTGTCCCAGAGCTTGGTTCGACTGCATAGAAGCTGTGAGAGTTGAACCACATAGGTCTCCTGGGGGAGACATTTTTTAAGTAAATAAGCTACGGTCTGCTTGTCCTGTTGGTTACTCTATCACAGATACATAAGAATATTGAAAAGAAAGCCCTACATTGTATAGATATTTCAGTTCAAGGATGGACATCATCAGTGCTGGAAATAAGATAGTAATCTTAAGTGTCAAACCTGGCTTAAGGCCCTCATCATTTTTGTTATCAGAGCCTTTGCAGTAAGTAAGGTTCTTAAGAGGAAGCAAATAGTAGCATATTCAAGTATGAGATGGTTTTGTTTCTTTGGATTTTTTTTTAAAGACATCTTAGGAAAAAAGAAATCAAATCATTCGTTTGGGTCATGGAACAGAGTTCATAAGTGTCATTAGTCTTAATAATATAAAGAGGTAGTAGGCAATTCCAGGATTTAAGTGTAGTTGGAAAGCTTTTAAGATTCAGCTAAGTTTAGGGGCAAAGCCTTAGAGAATTTTTGACAGGGCTTGCAGTTCTGCTACTTCTCCCCTGGCACCCATGTCTTGTTAGGGTGGCAGAAGCATTTTAGGAGATGTGCGATGGCATCCTGACATCCTGCTTGAAGGTGTCTGTCTTTAAGACCTTGTCTACTACTCTGTCCTTATGAGCTGCTAGTGTATTGTGATTCCAGCACTAGAAAGTGAACATAGTAGTGAAAAGGAATGACTTTGAAAGGTAATTATCTCAGGGAATTTTTGTTTTTCACTAAGTTTCATAAGGCAAGTGTAAAGCCTGGCATGATTAATAGTTAAATACCCTGTTAGCTGCCTTTGAATTTATGTAGGCCCTTTCTACTGTCTAGTATTAAAAAACCAGAGGAATACCAAATTTCTACAAATCAAAGGAGGGAAGAATAAAGATACATAAATTTAAGACAACAGGAAAATGCCATGTATGTTTTGGCATTTTCACAATTCATCCCACAAATAAAGGGAGGAAAAATTGGCTGAAGAGGATTAAATCCAGGTTCAGTTTTCTGCCTCTTGCCCCAAAGTCCAGTTGCAATTGAAGCCGCCTCTGATTCCACTCTCTTTTTGCTCAGTTTAGTCGTTTCATTGTCCTTACTATTAAGATGTTCCTTTTTGTGCAGTTCTTGGGAGACTCAGTTCTTACTTATCATAATGCTCTTCATGTTTGCAGCACCCCTACTCTGAGTTCAATTTGTATCTTAAAAAACTTTCATCTTCACTTTCTTTCAGCCTTTCCCTGTCCCAGTTCCTTACTGAACCAGTAATTTACAGTTATAAAACAATTATTAGCAGAGAAACAAATGTTTAAAATTTACATATAGGCAAAGAGGAGGGGTAAATAAGAGGACAAATACAGAGCTTATGATTACTGCCTGCTAGAATACTGCACATCAATACAGGAACATCAGCACATTTTTCATGTGTTACCCACTTGTTTTCATGGAAAGACCCCAGTAACACTTGAGTGTGTAACTCACCTCTGTCCAAGTGTCTCCTTGCCATTGTAGGCAAGTTCTCTGAAACCCGCCCCCTGTACAGAACAGCAAACAGGTTCTGTGATTTCCAGAAACATGGAGGGGGAGCTGATCACGCCCTTGGATTAGAACCCTGATTTCCTGAAAAGCAGTCCAGGGATCCTGTATCAGTGTCACATTGCCTGTGGTTTCTCAGCTTAGATCTCTGCCTTCCACCCTGTTGCTTACAGAACTAGCCAAACCTGGCAGCCAAGTAAATGATAACTCACTATGCATGAGCATGTATTTAAAAGGTAAAGTAACACTTCATCAGAGACGTCGAGTTCCGTGTTTCATCCGGAGCTTCCTTCACTCCATATTTCAAAATAAGTTAATAATGGTGTTTGGAGTTCTGAAGTTCAGGCCCTATGTTGACATTCTGCTCTGCCAGCTAAGAATGTAGAGTTCTTATATCACCTTCATAGCCCATTTCCCTGCCTCAGTTTACTCAGCTGATAATGCTTAGTTTAAGAGGTTTTTCTTCTAAGTATGCTTTGACTTTCTTGTAACTTTCTTGCAGTTTATATTGCTTCACCGGGGTTTTGGGCTTTTCTTTTTGTTGTCTTCCGTCTGTTGTTTTGTTGTGTAATCATCTTTCAAATTCTTGCCAGCTTCCACGAAAACTAGAAAACTCTCTGTATACTGTTTTCTTCATGGCGTGAATATGTAAACTAACAGTTTTCCCTCACACCTCCTAGAAGTTTCTATCTGCCTCTACCAACCCAGGGTAATAGGTTGCTTGAAATTATATTCTCTGAGTTGGCTGGGTTGAAAAATTCTAGACTAGAAATAAATTATCTCCACATTTTGAAAGCATTATGTCCTTCTCAATTCTGGTGTTGCTGATGGAAACCTAATGCTATGTAGATGATACCAAACCATTTGTTTATAATTTCCCCCTCTGCAGCTTGTAGGTTTTCTTTTATCTCCAGTGTTCCAAAGTTTCACAATGAATGTTTTTGATTCTAAAACTTCTGATAATTGGGTCCTGGACCTTTTTGTGTGGGCTGTATTTTTTCCTCTCTATTTGTGGTAGATTTTGTTTTTCCAATTTATCGGTTGATATTTACAATTCGGGATTTTTTGGAATATTTTATTTTAAGTTGCTTATTTTTATGAGTACATAACGATTACATTCATTGTGGGGAACTGGTACATGTACATAACATCTCAACTCTTTGGAGATGCCTTTTACTTTTGGGAAACTTGCCTGTCCTCTGCCATCTCTTAAAAAGAAATCCTTTTTTTATGGCCAAAATAGTCTTATTTGAAGGTTCTAGTTACAAGATACTTTTAAAAACGACTTTATTACCCTTTCCATTTCCTTAAAAATGTTTGGAAGCATTTGTGAATGAGGTCAGCCCTACTTTCTGGGAAATGCTGACTGTCAGATTTCTCTGAGGTCATTTGCTTAATTTCTCTACAGAAAAATAAGTTTGGGTGGGAGTAGGGGTTAGAGGGGTGCCTGTGTTCCTGGAGGGGCAAAGGCCCCCATTCGGTAGGAAACTATTCCTAGTGGCGCCTCTTGACATCTTTTGTTGGAACCCCTGGCTCCTTATCTTCAAGACCCAAGTTCTAGTCTTCTGCCCCGGGAAGGGCACGGAATGGCCCAGCTGCAGTGGGTAGGAAGGGGCCCTCAGTGTTCCTCAGGCAGAGTTCAGTCTTGCTTCCCACCTTCCAGGCACCTGAAGGTCCAACATCTTTCGCTTTGTAATTCACAAGCGCAATAACCCCTTCTGCAGGCACTTTTTCTCAGCTCTGCTGAGAGGTCTAATGGGTTTAAATAACCTCTCTGTGGCTTTCTTAACTGTGAATACTCTATGTCGCTTTTTAGGTTAGGAAGACAATAACGCGTAGAACATTTAGAACAATGCCTGCCACGGTACTGAGTTCCTGCTATCTGAAAGTGTGCTAAGGTCTATTTTGTCTGCGTCATCTTCTCTTGCTTTTTGTCTAGGAGGGGTTTTCCCCCTTTAACCCTTCTGTCATTTAAGTAGGGTGTGAAGAAGAATAGCTGGGATTAATTTTGACTGGGAGTCTTAATATTTAGAATTAGTTTACATTTTCAAATCCAATCGTTCTGGGTGGCTTTGGACACTGTGCTCTTCAGTATGGCAGCACATCTCTGTGGCAGCACACTTGGGAGATGGGGGTGGGAGTAAGGGCACAGGGCCTTCTCACAAAGCCACATCCCCAGTCCCTTTTTTGAGACCAGGTCTCACTAAGTTGCCCAGCCTTCCAGAGTGCTGGGATTACAGGCGTGAACCACCACACCTGTCTTGTAACAGCACAGTTTCTGTGTGGACCCTGAAGTGCAGTGGAGCCCCACCTGCGCCTTGGCGAAGCTGGCGCTCCACCCCGCCCTCTCTTGGTGCCTTGGGGCTGGTCTCTTGCAGCTTAGCGTCTAGCCCCGCAGAAGAGAGCGGGGTGCCCTCAACAAACATGGCCGCCACGCCGGCGTCAGCGGCGTCCCACAGGCCACGCAGCCGCCTGGGAATCGCGGACTCAGCGTCGCCCGGCGCGGGGTCACGTGACGCAGGAGGCGCTGGAGGCGGGGGCAGGGTGTCCTCTCGGGCCGAGCGGCACCGGCGCCAAGTGAGGCGGGCTGTGCTGGGTGAGGGCTCCGGGGTCCCGGCTTCGCGTGCCCGCGCCGCCCGCTCACGCTCGCGGTCCTGGGCGCTGCCGGTGAGAAGCCGGGAGGGGGGGAGAGGAGGGGCAGGCGGCCCGCGGGAGGGAGGGGCGGCGGTGCGCCCGCGGCACGGAGCCCGCTCGGCTGCGGCCTGCGCCCTGTGTCCTGCGCCCTGTGCCCTGCGCCCAGCCCCGCTCCGCTCCGTCCCGTTCGCCGCGGTGGAGTCGGCGCCCCCCTGCCCCGGCGGGAGCGTGGAGCGGGCGGGCCGCGGCCATCTCGGTCTGTTAACGTGCAGCCGAGCCGGTGCTGATTCCGGGTCGGGACCCAGTGCCCCGCGAAGCTGGGAGGAGCTGGTTAGAGACCGCGTGGAGGGAGGAGGCGGGGGAGACAAGCGCGGCCCGGCAGGGGTGCACACGCCGGCTTTGCACACTGCTCACCAGCTACGGTGTGCCTCGTTTCATGCTAAGCATTTTATGTGGATGTTCTGAAAGTTACCAGAATTCCTCTGCTGGGATAGCAATAGCACCCCTGGCTTCTGAAGAAATAAAGGTCTAAACAAGTGTGCCAAGATCCAGCATACCTACACAAAGTTCCTAAGTTCCGTGTAGCTTTCCTTAGCGATCAAGGGAAGGAGGCCCTTCAAAGTTAGACTCACAGAAGTCCAAGTTCATCGACTTGCCTCCCATAAACTTTGTCGATAGATTGCTTTTAAGCCTCGTCATTTTGGAGAAGGGTTTGAATTCTTGTTTGTTTTCTTTTCACAGGAAAGGAATAATGCTGTCAGCATGTCTGCTCACTCCATGCTCTGTGAACGAATCGCCATAGCCAAGGAACTGATCAAGAGAGCAGAGTCACTTTCAGGCTCAAGAAAAGGTGGCATAGAAGGGGGTGCAAAGCTGTGCAGCAAATTGAAGGCAGAATTAAAATTTTTACAGAAAGTAGAAGCTGGGAAAGTAGCTATTAAAGAATCTCATTTGAAAAGCACGAATCTAACACATTTGAGAGCCATTGTGGAATCCGCAGAAAACCTGGAAGAAGTTGTTAGCGTTCTTCACGTCTTTGGTTACACAGACACCTTGGGAGAAAAGCAGACCCTTGTGGTGGATGTCGTGGCAAATGGTGGCCATACTTGGGTGAAAGCCATTGGCCGGAAGGCTGAAGCACTGCATAACATCTGGCTGGGCAGGGGCCAGTATGGTGACAAAAGCATCATTGAGCAGGCCGAAGACTTCCTCCAAGCCAGTCACCAGCAGCCCGTGCAGTACAGCAACCCCCACATCATCTTTGCATTTTACAACAGTGTCTCCAGCCCTATGGCAGAGAAGCTGAAGGAAATGGGTGTATCTGTGAGGGGAGACATAGTGGCAGTGAACTCTCTAGATCACCCTGAAGAGCTTCAGCTGAGTGAGAGTGAATCTGATGAGGAGGGCCTGGAACTTTTACAAGTGACCAGAGTAGACCGAGAAAATATCCTAGCGAGTGTTGCATTTCCAACAGAGATTAAGGTTGATGTGTGTAAAAGAGTCAATCTGGACATTACTACCTTAATCACCTATGTGTCTGCTCTCAGCTATGGAGGTTGCCACTTTATCTTCAAAGAAAAAGTGCTCACGGAACAAGCAGAACAAGAGAGGAAAGAGCAGGTTCTACCTCAGCTAGAGGCATTCATGAAGGACAAGGAGTTGTTTGCCTGCGAATCTGCTGTCAAGGATTTTCAGTCTATTCTAGATACCTTAGGAGGACCTGGGGAGAGAGAGAGGGCTGCTGTTCTAATTAAGCGAATCAGTGTGGTACCAGACCAGCCTTCCGAGCGTGCCTTGAAACTAGTGGCCAGTTCAAAAATTAACAGCCGTTCATTAACGATTTTTGGGACAGGAGACACCTTAAAAGCCATCACGATGACTGCCAATAGTGGTTTCGTCAGAGCTGCAAACAACCAAGGTGTTAAATTTAGTGTGTTTATCCATCAGCCTAGAGCACTTACTGAGAGTAAAGAGCCTCTAGCCACCCCCTTACCAAAAGTCTACACAAAGGACAGTGAACATTAGTGGTATCCTTTAAAAATTGTCATGGAAATAAGTTATTTTTACCAAAGGCTGAGTCTTCCCATGTAAATTGTGGGGAATAAGGTCTGTAGCAAAGTAATACTTAGAACTCTGAAGCCAGAATTTCGTTATGTATGTCATCTGTATTTAAAGTGTATGATCTAAAGTAGATAAAGCACAAGAGATAACCTTATTTATCAAGCTGTCTACATTATAGCAATTATATGCATAAGACTTTTGGATGTCTCACAATACTTCTGTTTGATTCAGTAGGGTTGCAGTCTCCCTGTTGCTAATCACATTTCATGGAATATGGCCACACTGCATCTTTCATTCATTAAATCCTTGGTGAAATCTCTGAAGCCTGATTTCATTGTATTGATTTATCACTTGATGTGGGTTAACTCTGGGAGGTAATCATGTATAATTAGATTGTAAAGTTAATGACCATTAAGGAAAAGAAACATTTGATTATTGTGTGTCAGGCACAGTGTGATGGGTATGTTCGCAAAGTACATAATACAGAAGAAATGAAAATATGGTAAATTCTGGTCACGCAAGTGCTATGAATCTATTGATACATCTTTGTGAAAAGAAAGATAGCAAACAGTCCTCTGATCAAATACACCTAGGGCCTGCAAGGCAAAATACCAGTTTGAATAAAATGAAAAAGCACGCTATGAAAGGTTTTTAAAAATCAGGTTTTAAGTCCATGTGCCATATATTTCAAGTGTTTAAATTATTAATACTACCTTTCCTGTTCCATTTACAAGTGACTGCTGCATTAACTCAGTCGTGAAATGATGATGGTAGTCTGTGCCAGTTGCATGACAGGTTGTAATTAAAAGCAATTTTCTACACTCAGGCACTCAGCACTATGGGAAGCTGAGGCAGAAGGATTGCAAATTTGAGACCGTTCTGGGCAATTTAGTGAGATCCTGGGTCAAAATTTCAAATAGGAGGGGGAACTGGGGATGTAGTTCAAAAGGCCCTTGGTTCATTCTTCACTATCACACACACAAATAATTAATGAATATATAAATTTCTATGGCCATGTTGTGTCAGTGTTTTTTAAAAACCTGTATGTAATAAAGCAAAACATAAAACACAAAACATGTAAACCATATTTTTAAAAGTGAGAGTTTGAACCTTATGCTAAGGTTGGAGCTACTGGGTGCTGGAATTCGATTTGTGTAGCCATATCCTGATTTTCTACTTTGCCAACCTTCTCTTTTATGAGAAGGGAAAGTCAGCATCTAGGACCAGTGTTGAGGTAGAATTCAGTTATCAGGGTGTAGGAACACTAATACAAATGCAAAATTAAACGTGGTTTTCTGGGCGGAACTGTAAGAACACATTTTCTAAGCAAAAGACTATCATTTGGCTTCCAGTGTAGTTAGGGAGATAAATTGTCTAATGTTAAAAATTGAATTTAGGCTTTGTGAATAGCCATTAAGGTGCTAAAATCCTTCATAGTAGTAACTACCAGGCATTCTTATAATAGTTTGTTATAAAAAGATAATTAATTGCTCTAAAGAATTAGTCTGGATTCAAGTAAATTAATACAATAAATTATGTGTAAAATACTGAAAAAGTATAGAGTAAGGCAATAATTCTTGCTGTGGAATCAGGAAGTGAGAGTGAAATTTGGGATATTGGATGTGAAATTTTGCAAGAAATGGTGCTCAGAAGTACAGAGAATGGAACTGGAAAAGTTAGGCAAGAGTGAATGTGAGGGCCTATTCCTTGACCAGGCTCAAGTGGGCAGTGTATAACTAGAAATGAAGCTAGAAATGTAATCAAAATTCCCTGGAATTTGGCATTAGAGAACTATTGGTGATTTTTAACAGAAGGCTGCTTGTGATCATCTCTCTTAAGAGAACAACAAAAACTCAGTGTGAAGAAAGTTTAAGCAGGGAGGGAAATGAAACTATTACAGTTACCACAGCCAGAGTGAGGACGACGAGATGCAGTGTCATGGATGTGTGCTGTATTTGACGCAGCATTGTGATAATAATGTCATTTAATAAACATTTACTGTATTGCATGCCGTTTCTATGATAATAGCAATTGCTGAACAGGCAAAAACTTATTTCAAGAAGGTAGATTTGTGTTCCTACTCACTATGAATCAGTTCCAAGAGCTTGGAATTTCGCTCATCAGAAAATCGACAAATAGCACTGGAGAAACTGCTCTTAGAAATGGTCACAGTTGTGGTACTGCCAAAGACCATTATCCTTGCCTGGGCACTGATTACAATTCCTAACTATGCAGTAAATAATGCAAAGAAAAGGTGGACAAAAGTAGTGGGGTACTTTTGTAAGAAATGTAAGAATACCAGAAATAGGAATGTAAGAAATAGGCCTTTGTCTGGAACGTGCATGACTCATAGACCACATCTAGCTGACTGAAGACAGCAGTTCATAGAGGGAAGAAATGAGAGTAAAACAAAAATGTGAGAAGTTATAAAATGAGTGTCCAGTTAACACAAGTTAAAAATCATTGTGTGGAAGCAACACAAATGTCTAAACAGTGAAGAGTAAAGATAAAAAAATAAAACTAATTATGACTGGAATTTAAAAAGGGAAAAGTAAAAGCATATTAAAAATACTTTAGAAGGAAGTCAGTTAGCTTTAAAATTTTACCATTGGAAAAATAAACCAATAAAATGGAGGGTATTAAATATAACTGCTAGTATAAGTTAAATCAAACTAGTTTATAGAGGAAAAACCAAGCCAAAAAGAATTCTCAAGGAAACAAACAACATAGCATAAAATAAAAGCTGTAAGGTCAAGAAGGAATTAAAACCGCTCTGAAAAAGATTAACTATAGGGAAACGTACTATCTACACTATTTTGCTAAACTTAGAAATCTCATTGAAACATGATTTCCTTTGGAAATATGGCTTGCAATTGAAGAAATACCTTAAATAAGCAATAATCACGGAACACAATTGTTAAAGTAGTTAAGCATCTTCCTCTGAATATGTGCTGGTCTAGTTGACGTCATTAAGAGGGTTTTTTCTTGCTTTTAAATATCAAATAATCCCCTTTAGCAATACAGTGCTTAAGATCATATGTGGGGTTCAAGTTTTTAGCATAGTAATATGTGTTGGTTTATTCTTCGTTTGCTCTATGGTAAGAACTTTAGCCTGCTCCTGTCAGAGAAGGAAGGGAGGTTGTGGGGTGTAGTTTTGCTCATGTTAATAGTAGGGTGATTGCCTGAGCACCACTATATTGGAGATGTTGTCAGACTCATTTTATGGACTATGGGCATAGTGCTGGCACCCAAATCTGCAAGATAGCATAAAATACAAAATGCAACACAGTTTCAGTGTAAGAATATACATAAAACATCCCAAATACACCGCTGTGCAGATAAAATGGAGCCCAGGCAGGAAACACCTCACTCTGTGGAAATCTTGTTCCCAGAGGGAAAAGGGGCAGAGATGAGTTCCCAACCTTAAGAGCGGGCTAATCCCACTAGTCAGGAGTATCTTCTGTGATGGGCAAGAATCAGAGGCATGAGGCCTTTTGAGGCAAAGTGGTAACCCCAACATTGCAGTGTGAAGCTGGAGCCATTGAAAGGCCACAGGTCCCATGAGAGAGGATCTTGTATACTCAACCCAGCAACATAGCAAGGGGATTTGACTCGAGTGGTTCTGAGTAGAAGAAGGAAATCTGGGAGAAATCAAAGCCTGCCTGAACTCTACATAGAGTCAAAATCTATGAAGAACATCATGGGGGAGATCAGGGATGTGGAATTGTGTAGGAATTGGCTCCTGGCAGGTGCTATCCTTTAGAAGTCTGCCAGAGACATACACGGCGTCATTCTTGACTTGGGGACACTTCTATTTCCCAAACTCACAGATTGCACTGGAAAAAGTGATTGAGTTGACAGTGGGAAATTTAGGGTTAGGGTTTGCCACCCCTAGCAAGTCCGCAACACGGAGAGAAGCATTAGTTCTTTAAGAGTTTAATAGCAATTTATGTGACACACAGACTATAGCACATTAGGGAATATGTAAAATATGTGTAATAGCCAAATGCGAAGTGAGTTTTGGGGTGTCCATAGTGTTCCCTATCTTTGTTCTGGCGAAGTGAGAAAACAAGTACTCAAAGTAGCAGATGGAAGCTTACATCTCTTGCAGCAAAGCAATGCAAAGCTGAGAGGAGGATGTGGTTTGCTCTGCAGCTAGTGCATTTCCTAACACTGAGCTCCACAGTTAGGCAGACATTACCAGGTACAGTAGCGCAGGCGTGTGTGCCAGGGAGAGTTCTTCCCAGAAGACCTGCAGATAACATCTCACCATGAGGAAAAGGGCAGCGATGAGCCAGGCATCCTGGGAGGACTGACAGTCCAAGGCCCCGCTACAGTGCTACAGCCCTCGCATCCTCTGCCTCCCTGGGAACACTGAGGTCCTCAGCTTCCCAGTCTTGCAGTTCTCTGGGGAAGGCCGACAACAGACACACAGGGGAAGTCCACTCGGGCTGCCCCTCTTGTGGTCAGTGGCTGTGCACCATTGTGTTACAACAGGGAGGGAAAGCCCAAGGCCATGTTGGAGACCGCAGTGCTGACACACACTTTCCTTGGTACTTGCTGTGTTGAAAAAAAAATCAAGCTCTGCTTTGTTTAAGCCACTGTACTTGGCTTTTCCATTATGTGTAGTTAAAAACATTTCTAACTATTATTAATATTAACTAATATTTATTTGTTCCATGGAAAGAGTAGGTAGAATGGAAGAGGGGCAATAAATACATTTTCAAATATATAGTAAACAATTAGAATAGAATATGAGCACCATGTGTCCCTTTCCTAGTTTTAAAAAATGTTGTTTTGTATTATTTGCCTTTTCTAGCTCTTTCTTGTGTTGAAATTATTTTAGAATAAGTTACAGACACCATCAACTTTGGTTTACATAGCCTGCAGTATTCAGCTCTAAAAAGAACAACATTTTCTTATGAAGCCACAATTCCACGAGCATATTTAACAAAATTAACCACACTTATGCACTTCAGCTTAAGTCCCACCGTTATCTAGATTTCAAGGGATTTGCCTAGCAGGGATGCAGTCAAATACCAGGCAGTGTATATAGGTTTCTTACATTTCTTAATTTCTTTTTTTTTTTTGGTTTTTCTCTGGTACAGGGAACCAAACTCACGACCTTGCACTTGCCAGGCAGGCACTTTGCCGCTGAGCTAAACCCCCAGCCCTATTTCTTAATTTCTATGTATTGAATGTTTCTTAATTGTACTTAAAACCTAATGCAAGACTTCATCCTTCTTTTATGACTTTGGCTTTTTAAAGACATTATGACAGTTGTCTTATAGACTGTCCTACTTTTGTTTACAGTATCTAATTC